CCTGCGTACGCACTAGGCAGAGAGCCAAGAGAGCTGAGGCCCCAGCCTTGATACAAACTCCCTCTGCAACTTCTGTCAAATCTCCCCAGGCCTCAGTTACTCATCTGTAACGAGGGTGATCTGTCTCCGTCTGCCTCCCCTGGCAGTTCTCAGAATAGTCACAGTCTCTCATTTTCTGGAATAGCAAAGCCTCATCTTGGTGTGGTTTTTAGGTGCTATTGTATTATAACAATGAATGACTAATGTGCAGCCTTAGTCATCCAAACAACTCGACTCACACAACATCACACTGGCTGCAGTGACTCTTGTGGGCGGCCCCACCTACCCTCTGCAGGATATAAAACGTGCCAAGGGCACAGCTGGTATTTGCAGTGTGCCCTGAGCACCAAACTCACCTACCACAGGCTGACCTAGGTGTACGACACTGGCCTTCATGTGCATCATAAGTCAAATTAGATGCTTGATTTTCAAGGATCACCTGCTTCAAACTGAGGAATGGTCCGTCCTGATGAGCAGGAAGCAAGAGTGGCAAGAGGTCTGCACAGATAACAAGATGCTCAGACATAAAAAGGAGGCAAACAAGAGATGGAAGCTGGCAGCAGAACTGGGCAAACAAGTATCTCGTGAAGTTCAGCAAAGGGAAAAGCAAAGTCCTGTGCCATGCACGAGTACAAGCTGGGATCACCAGAGCAGCTTTCTGAAGAAGGACCTGGGTGTCCTGGTGGACAAGAAGTTAGAGATGAGCCAGCAATGCACCCTTGTGGCTGGGAAGGCAAACGGAACCCGCGGCAGCGTCTGACACGCAGGGAGAAGCTGAGACAGCGGGGAATAAACACTCCATGGGAGGGTGCAAAGAAGACAGAGATAGAGCTGGGTTATACCCAGCCATAGGACAAGAAAGAATGATACACAAGAAATTGCATTTAAACACAGGATTTTTTTTTCTGCAAGGTGGTTGAACAGGCTGCCAAGGCAGGTTGTGGGGTCCCTATTCTTGAGATATTCAGGATCAACTGGACACAGTCCTGAGCTCTGCCTGAGCCTGCCCTGAGCAGGGGGGTGGGTGTAGACAATTGCCATAGGCCCCTTCCGGCCTCAGCCATACTGTGATTTATAACACAGTATAGACTATTATCATTATTAATAGGCCTATAATACCTCAGGGTATAACTACATGCATAACCAGACCAGCTGGACTGGCTTTCTGCATCTTCAGTAGTTGCTATCCAGTCCAGGGTGCCTGCATTTTAGCAGCCTTCTACTACTGCCTCATAGTTTCAGTGCCTGTGTTTGCCTCTTACATCAGAGGTAGTATATAAACTACATTATTGTTATTTAAAGTCACCAGACAACAGGTTTTTGTTAATTCTCTTTCACACAATTAGCCACAAGAGGGCACCAGTACCACTTCAGAAAGACAACAAATAACCAGTAAAGGGAATTTGCTTTTGGCCTGTGCATCTTCAAAGGCCCAAGCACGGGGCAACAGAGTTGGTTGCAGAGGAGAGAAAATCCTCCAGCTCTGTAGGGCTCTCCAGAGCCAATGGAGCTGCCTGGCGGGAGCACTTGTGTCCCTGGAGCTGCCCCTGGAAGCTCATCCCTTCCTCCCCGGGGGGCACGACCTTCCCCTGACTAATGAGAAATCAGACCCGCTGCGGCCCAAGATGCGGCACTGGCCCCTGCACGTGAGCACAACAGCAATATTTGTGCGAACGAACAACCTTCAGCATCAGCAAGCAAAAAGTCTGCTCCTTTCAGGGTCTATTCAATGTATGCATACGCTTTAAATGGCTTTTATTTTTAAAAGCCCAACTCTTGAAAGCTATTGAACATGTACAAACCTATCGCACAGGACAGATTCCTCTGTTTTAAGCTTTACATCTTCTTAAGAAGTCTGGTTATAAATTAAAACAAAAATAGTATTTAAAGCCATGAATATTACTTTCATCACCTGAATTTCAACTTTTAAATGGCAGTTCTGAGAGAATTAAGTATCTGCCAGCCTGAGAAGCTAACAGCACTACTCTGAGACCTGAACATGCACCCACTGCCCTATGAACCCACCAACTGCAGACAGCCCCATTCTGCGATTACAATCCACAGGTCTGGAAAAACAGGGCAAGGATCAGCTCTCGAGCAGGTATATAGAGCATCCATGGGGAAGAACACTCTGCTCATGTGTCCTGGAAAGCTGCCAGTGAATATTTACTGCTTCCAGTTCTGCGCTGTCTGCAGTTTTCATTATTTACTGTTATTTATAGTCAGATTGCGTGTCTGATAAAGATATCATTACATCTGCAGTGACAGCTATAGTGATTATCAATGTGAATCATGTAGTGATTATGGTATCTGTGTACTGCCTAAGAACAAAAGTGACATCTGCTCTGAACAGCGCTGCAGCGTGCAGCAACCCATGCAAACACGTTAAAGCATGTGGGAGCATTAGAAATTATGCAGCTTGTCTCCTGACCTCACACACTCAAAGCCCTGGTTGAAACCTGTCTGGGAACACACGTTGTGTTATGCTGTGGGTTTGATCTCATGATAGGATTCTGTGTTAATTGCCCAACTCCTCCCAAGATGGAATTGACCGATCTTTTCCTTCTCTTAAATTACCTCTTTCTTTGAAGACACTGATTTGCTTTGACAGGCCAAGTACTCTTTTCTGTAGTTGACTAGGTTATTAACACCACATTGAAGAATAAAATGTTCTCCTCTACCTGGTGATTCACTATGTGTATTGTGAAACCTTGATAGCAACAACTTCAGAACTCATTGCTTGTACAGCAGGTCCTCTTTTTTTTTTCCCCCCACTGTGTATCTACACTGGGCAACAACAACTTAGTCCTAGAGAACAGAAACTGAAATGTACACCCAGGTCCACCCTCTCCAGAAGGCTCATCACAGCACAAGGCATATTTTTACAAGATAATTGAATAGAAGAAAAAGGCGTTTAGAAGCATAAAAAAGTTGTCTGGGTTTATATGGGGCTTGCTTTCTAGAAATCCAAGCCTTTTCATGATGGGGCAATTCATATCCTTTCACTGATGATGAAAATGAGGCATGAGAGAGCAATATTCTCAGTGATGCACAGCAGTTTAGAGGCTATTTATGATGGGAATTGGATGATAACCCGCAGAGCTGAAAGAATGAACAACTACAGCTCAGGCTAAACAGCAGACTTCCATGACCCAGTGCTGTGTTTAAAAGAAAGGCCAGGCCTTGCACCATAAGAAATCCTCCAGCACTATGATAAAGTGTATTATTTTTTAAGACAGGCTTCTGCATTTCTGATTCAAAAATCTCCCACATATCCCCCATAACAACCAAAGTCTGAGCCTCCAAAACTTCCCCAGTCATCTACTAAATACCATCTAGGATACAGACACTTGTGCCAAGAGACAGATGCCCACAGGTGCCCTGCTCAAGAGCAAGTACAATTACACATGAACATACAGGGCACTCAAAATTAATTTTGCTTACAAAGAAAAAAGTCTCATTGCTAAAAGATTTGTACAGTTAAGCTAAACCTCTTCCTGCACCAGTGGCTGTGAATACAAAAGGACTGGTCTGTTTCTTATGGCTCCAAGTCCACAAAATGTTGCTTTCAAACACACGTTTCTCCTGAGTTTTGGTGGTAGCTGGATTAACTCTGTGCAATTATTCAGTGAAAGAAAGCCAGCCCCACTTCATCCAGGCTGCAGCAAGCCTGCAAGCTGCTTCCATGCAGGCAGGCAAGGACAAGGTATTTTCAGACCTTCACTTACCTGCTCTCAGGATCCCTAAGATTATTGAACGTTCTCTCTCACACAGACAGTCTAATCGATCAGGTTAGTGCACACATCTAATAATTATCTAAGTTTGCTTTTCAAAGTTCTGCATATATCTGCTTTTTATAATGCAACGTGTGATTACTTTTAATTAGATGTTTGTTCTACTTTTCCTCAGACTTCCACCCCCAAGTCTTCAAATTCACCAATAGAAGCTCAAGAATATAGCACAGATCCTTTGGAAGTGTAAGAATTTTGTGAAAATAACACTGTTCTCCAAAGCTGTTCTGCAGTTTCAACTTAAATAGTTATGATTGGGGAACACTATAGTTTAACATGATGCAGGAATTAAAAACATAATGGATGCATACTAGTATTTTTAATTAAGGCTGGAACTTGTTAAAAGGAACATCAACACTGCAGTTATTAAAACTGCAATAATTACAAGTGTTAATTTTCTTTTCCAACTTCCAAGAGGTTTGTTTCCATTACACATTATATTTAGCTGGCAAGATGCTAGCAGCATAATCACCTTTAATTCTTGCTTCCCCTCATGATCCCCATTTTCAAAGGTTTTGCTTGATGCTGGTGGGAGAATTTGAAATGCAGAAAAAGAAGAGACCTTTATAGTATATTGACGCTGCATGGCAGTACAAAAAAAAAAAAAAAAAAAAACACTGCATTTACACAGAACAATGCTTCTGAAAATGCAAAAATATATACAAATCACAAATATTTGCTTTCCGTTAAAGAAGAAATTGAATTTGAAAAATAATAAATTTATCAAATTTATTAAATTAAATAGAGGAGAGAATAAAACAAAAGCCCTATGCCAGAAGCTCACAATGTACTATACAAACAAGTTTCCAAATATATCTAAGATGATGAAATGCCACACAACAGCATAAAAAAAGAATTACAACATTGCTTGTTTGACAGGTTAATACAATCCATACTTCAAACAGAGTCTGATTGTACTCTTAATCAGTAAAATCCTAAAGCATAGAATTTCACTGAATTACAAAAAAATATGAAATTATAATCTAGAATAGTTTCAAAGCAATTATATGGTATACTCATAATTGCACAATCTTTGTAAGAAAACTATATGTGTACAGTTGAATTATAGCTGCAGATGTCACACTAAGCAAATAATAAAATGTATTGTTCTTCAAATCACAAAAGATTTCTAAATATACTGCTGAACTTTTCCCTTTACTGTACCTTGCAAATGCCTGTCTGTAGAGCAATATGCATTTATGTGAAATGCACCTGACTGCATTTAGCCGTTGTAACAAAATACGTTCTTTCTTCACTCTCTCCGTTAACTGTGGACTCACACAGAAGACCTGCACAGAAAAAATATAGCTAGGCAGTATTCTTAAAATGAGAAATTGCAGTGATTAGTTAATGTAACAGCTTTGAGAACTGGTTTGAAAAAAATCTACATTTTATGAAAGGAACATTTTATGACAAAGAGAGAGAAAGGCAGGAAAGCTTTACTAAATCATTACCCTTTACCTTGCCCCACAAACAAAAGGGCAAATCATTTCTTTACCAGCCTATATTCTGAATTCCTCCCTATTCTCATGCATTTTCACTTGACATGCCTTGCTTCATGAAATGAAATGTAGGATATCTACTCCGGGGTGCTTCTCTGACTCTGTAGAGGCCAACACTCACTAAGGGGTATATTTTTATTCAAACCTATTCTGAAGTGTATTGGCAATTTTATACTGACATTTTAAGAATAACTGCAAGACATTGCTGACAATATTAAATAATCATGTTATGATTAGACCTGTTCTGTAATTAATTTTAACTCTAAAGAGAGTTCAGCAAAAGTAAGGAGGCAGGGAAAGCCACTGCTTATATATAAGCTACATCACTTATACATGCTATAAACACAAAAAGTAAAAATACGAGAGGGTAAGTACCAAAATATTGCTTTGATTTTGCTTTGAATAAAAAATATAATCATTTGTAAGACATGAAATGTTATAGGCCCACTAAACCCTATATGAAAAGTGAGTTTGTTTTGAAAGTAACAAATGTCAACATTGATTATTCCATTCTATATAAAAACTCCTTACCTATATTGTTGGATGTCATATGTTCAGCCGGGGGATTAGTACTAACTTGCCATGTTGTTTTAACTTCCTTCTGTCCATGTCCACTACTTATGTCCACCTTCCATACTTCTGGGTGGTCACTGATAATAATAACCAAACGATGTCAGAATTTGGTCATGTATTCTGCCACAGTCTGAATTCTACTGCTACAAACACTGCAGTTTATCTTACTTCTGATAGAACTTCTTGACGAGGGCTGGTCTGATCGGCAGCTGAAAGGCATGCTTCTCATTTAGAGGGTTTTCCTTATAATACTTGATGCACGTTCTACAATAATAGGAACCAACTAGTTAAGTAATGCTCTTTGAAAACATGCTTGTGTGGTAAATCTTGTCCCGATTTATGCAGTACCACTGCATAAGATTTATGCAGGTTTTTTTAATTGGAAAACAGGACAAGTTTTTCAATCACAAAACAAAATTGAACAGGAAGATCCACTACTGCTTTTGCAGTCTCATAACCACCAACAGTAAGGGGGAGGCTTACATGCTATGTCCTTTTAAGGAAGGGTTTACCTCTAAACAATCTACTTCTATTCATTTAAAGTGAGAATACTTACTGCGTCAAAGGGAAGAGGTTATCATGCTTAAACTGTAGTAAGACTGTACAGCTGACCATTATTTCCAGCATATGGTGAAGTTTTTGAACACGATGAACTTGCTCTTGTAGATCTAGTGATGTGGAAATGAAGTAATCCTGAAATAGCAAAAAACTTAAATGGATATTCAGATTACACTGACACAGAACATACCCTCTGTACTAAAGCCATCTTCCTGCCTCTTTTCAGAAAGTAAAACACTAGGAGATGCCCAAAAAAGTCAGAACAAAGATCCACACAGTTCATTATTCTGCCTGACATTGACCCATACCAGATACCAAAGAAATAATGTAAAAATAGAGAAAAAATATAATGATATTTCCATGGTGTATCATCCCATCCTCATAATTTGCAACCGAGTTTCTTAGTTTATGTGAAAGAGATGACTTGCACTCCCCCATCAGCTAAGTGTGCTCTACCCTGTGTGGCTTTCAGAATAAAAAAAAAAAAAAAAAAAAAAAAAAAAAGCCTCTCACCAAGGAGTTTAGGGTTGCAAGTTCCTGACCTGTAAAATTAACAGGAAAAAATAATTAAAAATTATTACATAATGACAGCTGAAATATCAAATATGGAATTCTACCAAAGAATAAGCACTGCAGCACTGATGTTTTGTATCAACTGACAAGAAACTGTTCAAAACAAGAAAAACTCTGTAAATTATCACGGCAGAAGTATCAGCTTATTTACTGCAAATGCTGCACATCCATAGAGATACAGCAAAGAAACTTAAGTAGGTGCTACGTATCTTGAGGCAAAAAAAAAAAATCCTTTTGGATACAGAAGCTTAGAAGTAGCAAGAATTTTAAAATAAAATAAAATAAAAAACACTACATGAAAGAAAGAATAAAAGCAGCCTGGCAAAGAAATCAAGAATGAAGAGATGAAGCAAAATGAAGTAGAAAATAACAGTGGCACAAGCAACTCCCCTCCCAGAAACAACAACAACAAAGTTTTAACAAACTTGGAAAAAAAAAGCTCAACATTCTGAAGAAACAAATTAGCATTAAAAAGTCTTTTCATCTTAGCTTTTGTTTCCAGTATAAAATATAAGATGATCAAAAACCTCTCTCTCAATACTACACACTTTACAAACACAGCTATTACATATAAGTATCCATGCCTGGTTTCCTTTTAAGGTATGCAGATCATAGAGGAAAAGAAAGAAAGAGCTCAAGTATCTTGTTTTTTCATCCAGAGCAAACAGATGAGGAAACAAAATAGTCTACAGTTACTCAAGTCTGGTATTATTTTACTCAAAATTTAAGCTAGACATTTTTTCAGATTGACAAAAAAAATACACAACTATATTGTATAATTACTTCAACAAATAATTGAACAAATTCACTTTTTAAGTTACGAAAACATACACAGCTCAAATGTACAAATATTAAGGAAGCTAGGAACCAGCACTTGAGCAGATAGGACCAAAAATGAGATCAAAGTTAACCAAAAAAGAGTTATTTCCTGGATGAAGCAACTTTCTCTGAGTTTTCAATTACATCAACAGATATGAAGCTTACCTATGAAAAAACTGACATAATCCTTCTTCATCTTATCCAAACCAATCTCCAAGAGCATTTGAATTGGAGTGACACCAGTGAGGGAAACTCCATCTATCTTTCCATGATAAGACTGTTGAATCAATTTACTTAGCAAACTGCTACTCCCTTGATGAATCTAAAATTAAAAATGTTTTCTTGTGATGTAATGGTGTATGAAATAGCACAAAAGTTTAGAAGTAATACACTATGGAAAGAGAGGCTGTGACATGCAAATGTAGTTTAAAAACAAGACAGAAATAAAGGGCAGTCAAATAAAAGAACTATATCCTACTTTACACAACACCAAAATGATAAAATTTATTCTTAATACAAGTACATACCCATGGCTGTATCTCGTCATGTTCCAGGGATCTTATCACCAATGTGAAACATTCTACCAATTCTTGATAAGAACTGATGCCTTAAGAAAAAAAAAGATTCAATGTTTCATTTATCAGACTCCGTCTTTAGCTATCAAGTCAATAAATACAGGTTAACACATACTTGCAAAAACAACTCCCATCTTAAAATATAACTGAAATAGCTCGCACTGCTTTTTGTTACATTTGTCATATCATGACTTCAACAAAGGTTACGTTAAAGAAGCAATGACCAAAAGAAACCAACACTTAACAAGAGACACCTTATCAGTTACTACATTTTGACTACATTAACTCCATAAAATATGCTGCACTGCAAAGTGAACTACTCATAGCTATTTATCCTCCTAACTGTTCCCCAAATAAGAAACAAGCTTCACTGCAACAAGTAACACTGTGGAGCTGAAAAGGCCCTTAAGACAGAACCCAGCAGGGGAGCACAGCTCAGTCACCACAGTACATTTCAGCCATCCAGTTTCGAATCTTTCAGGACAATGACTATAATAATAGGAATGAAGGGGATTTAAAGCTTACTCCCTTCCTCAAACAGAAAAGAGTTGTCAAGAGTTGATTAGTAATGCCAAAAAAACAAAAAGTTTAAAAAGTATTTAACCAAGTGTATTTGATTGCAAGTAGAATTACAGCAGTGAAAAGATTGTGTGCAGCTTTATCAACTTTTACAATATTTATTTCTGATGTAGTAAGGAGCGATTTTATAGGTAAGCAGCTTTCAAATTTTAGAGCAGAAAAGTACAAATGATTAACGCATTAACAATCAAACTAATAAAATGAAACGAGTCTATCCTGCTAGATGTTGGTGTATGTTCAAATATTAAAGAAAAAAAAGGTCAGCTCATATACCTAAAATTAGCTCTTCTGGAAAAAGTCTGTTGGTAACCTAACTCTGAAGGGGCTGATAAGGATCTATTAAAAGCCACCAGTCCTTCAAAAAAGCAGTACAGTATAAGATATAGATAGGTAGGTTCAAAAAACAGAAGGAATATTGGACAACAGATGAAAAACCAAGACACTCACTTCTCATTTTGCACCATAATTGCTCAGCAAAATCCAGGTCTCCTCGCTCACTGAAGATTGATTTTATTGAACTGTCCACTGCTGCAGTATCACATTTAATTTTCTGAAAGAGTTGAGTTTTTAAGTAAAAAGAAGGCCCAACAAAGACCTTACAAAATCAAACACCCTCTAAAGATCAAAATTGGATGCAGCACTAATTTCTTCCCTCTTCCAGTTAGTAGTTCTGCATGCAAGCTACTCCACACTAATTAGGAAAGATTCAAATTTAACACCTTGGATAATTGCTAGATTTGGTCTATTATGTTAGAATAATATTGTAAAGCCTTAAACAGATAGTACAAATACACAACAGATACCATTAAACAGAAAAGACATCAAAGACGACAGGAAAAGCAAATTTGTGATAGAAAGCAATGGCACACAGGTTAGTAGTTCCCTGAAAGAAGCTAGAATATCATGGTAGAGCATAATCAAAAATTTGACCTAGTATAATTATTAGGTGAACAACAACATCGAGGAAATTGTTTGGAAATTGCACATGCCTCTGCTTCGTTCTTGTTTCCTGATGTGCAGAACCCATCCAGTTTCATTTTTAAATCTAGTAGAGGAGAAAGGAGATTTCACCACTATGAAGAAACACATAGTCAAACCAATTGTATTAATCCCTGGGCACATAATATTTATTACCTATTTTAAAACTCCTTTTTTTTTTCTCTCTCATTGCTTAGGCATGCAGCCTGAAATATTTTCTGATCAGCTTTTATTATTAAGACATTTTTTCCCATATACCTTTACTATATTCCATTATTTAAGCATAAACATGTCATGCCTTATTGCCTAATCACTGCAGTTGAACAAATGGTTTAAGAAACATCTTTTCTGCTTCCAAATTTATTTGTGAGACAAAATCTTTATCAGCTTCTCCAAATTTTATCTAGACAGTGATTTGCGAAAAAATACATTTGCATTCTAAGCATTTATGGTGCACTCCTATATCTAATTTTAATTGAATTTGACATCTATCTCCCCCGCCCCTTCCCACATAACAGGCAAAAAATACCAGTCAGAAACTCCCGGACAAGCTCAACTGCTGATTCAGATTCTAAGGGCTCAGGCCACTCAGTCACCCCCGTCTTCAAACCTTCTGCCAAAGCCTAAAATCAGCATCAAACACAAAACAAAACAAACAGGTCAGCTCATTACTTCAAAGTGTAGTAATGCTTCCAAAAGCCTGCGTAACTAACCATGAATTTAGAAACTTCTAGCATTTCCTCACTTTGGTGTTCATGAGTCTTCAAAATTTACAGTAAACTAAATGCATAAGATTATCCTTGAAACGTTCAATGGAGCTTTAAACAGAGTAAATGAAGATATATAAACGCTATTCCAAGTAAATCTGCAGTTAGATTTTCCTGTTTGTACTCACAAGAAGAAACTGGAGTTCTGTATATAGCTGATACACAGGACTTCTGGGGTCCCCACACTCCAGCGTAATATTCTGAAATATCCAGAAGTTTACATCAGATTCATATTTTAGAAGTATCCTAAAATTATCATCAGGGAAATGCACATTAACACAATTTATTATTTAGCTTATGAATATATTGTACTGCTTAAATCTGGAATAGCAAACACAACTGGAGAAAACTCAAACACAACTGCAGAAAACTCAAACATATTTTCAACAATTTACACCACTCAGGATGTAAGCAGTGGAAACAGTCGGGGTTTGTTGGCTTCTTCCATCCTTACTTACCAATGTGGCAGTTGAAGTGAGAGGGGGAGTCTGCAGAATCTTGTCCACAGTATTCCATGCAAGATCAATATATATGTTGCTTTTAGATTCAGCCAGCGTGTCCTCTATTGCAGCAGTTCTAAAAAGTTCATATTGAGCAAAACCTTTTGTCATCACCTAGAATAAATATATTTAAAAACTATTAAAAATGCACATAAGATGATTAAGGCTCCAAAATCTAGCTCTGCAAGAACTGATGTTAATTAATTCATGATGTCAGCCAAAGGGATCTCAGTACAAAAGAGAGTAGTACCAAGATGTTTTCTACCCATGCAAAATATTTTTAAAAGCAGTTCACACAAAGAATGACTAGTGTCAGACAAATGCATTATAGTATAGGAAGCTCAAATGTTACTTCAAAAAGGACTTTGTACTAGAAAGGCATGCTAAAATGTATTTCTAAATATATCTATAAAGCTTCCCTAAACCAAAATGATAAATGCAAAAATACAGAGTTTTAAACATAGACTTGAGACATGACAGATTGCAGAGACCTACCACAGATGAGTGATGTCTGGTTTTGTGTGCCATTTTGAGCTTTGCAAGATCACCAAAACAGGTTTTATCAGCAGTAGGACCTGAGAAAGAAAAAAAAAATCAAAAAAAAAAAAAAAAAAAGACACAGACCAAATCTGGCATTTAAACTAACCCTCATATGCTCCATTCAGTCAAGTACCATTCATGTTCTTTAGAAAACAGTCATTCTTGCATTTATCCTATTGACAATAAAAGCTGGTGCTGACATTTAAATGTTTAAGAGTCACCACTTGCATAAGATGGATTCTCCGTGGGCCCTGATCGAAGGCAGTCCTGAACAGACACCATCACAGCATGTTATATATATCGCTTATATTAAAGAGCTATTTTGTGCATTGCATGGGTCAAAAACATCTCTTTTCTCAACCTCCCCTGCTTTGTTTGATTTTAAGGGGGAACACGGGATGGTGCCAAGCTGGTATCACAGACCAGTAATTCTCCCACTTTTCTTTAATTCTTTCTCATTTGGTTCTACATGTACCTTTATAGCCAGAGGACCTTACCATGGCATGTAACTGTGTGCAAAGAGATTCCTGTGACTTTGTCTCCAGTTTTGAGAGGCTCTGCCCCAAGCCAACAAGTATGTTTGGGGTCAGAGCTGTCACATCGTATCCAGAGGGGAGGAAGCACAACCGCTTTGCTTATCTTCAAATGGGTCATGTTTGGATTTTGTGCCATGGTATACAGCGAAATCAACTGCCTAAAGACAGGAATGGAGGGAGGGGAAAATGTCAGACGTTAGCAAGTATTAGGCATAATTAAAATTTCACTCCTATACAGAACTTCAAATGAGGACAGTAACACTTGAATCCTATCTGGTCTATTTCATAACTCAAAACATCACAGCATTAAAAAAAATAAATCTGTATTATAATCCTCACTTTACAACCAAAAAAATGAAGTCACAAAAGAGAAAGTAAGATATCATAACAGAATATATTTAATACAATATTTTTATTTAGACTAAAACAGTAACATTATAATTAATTTTCGCATTTGAACTAAATTATCCTTTTAACATGTTTAAGCAAACTAGCAGTCATGTTTGGGTACCATGCCTTTGTATTCTAACAACACTCAAAGATCAAATCCCAAACAGATTTTCTTTAAAACCAAAACCATCCAGAAGGAAGTGTTCAAGGCTCACTAAAATTTCTTGTGTACCTACACAGGCTCTCTCATTTGTAGAAGAGAATCTCAGAGAGAACTTTACTTGAGATCTTATGGCATCAAATTAAGAGCATGCTTTATTATTATTATTAACAGAAAAATAACATTTACAAAGAGTCCTTCCCTATTAATTTTGTTGTCTCCTAGGTAGTGTAAAAGTAAAAGAAAGTATTAGAAAACTTGGCCTTGCAGTCTGAAGGAAATACCCACATATAGAATTCCAGCTCATTTTCAAATCTTACATTTTGTTTACTTACCAGCAGTAAACAACATACTCTACTGTGACAAATCCATTTGCTTAGAGGGTATGAAATTATTAAAGCATGGAGCCTTGATTACTTACTTTGCTCTTCTAACAGAAAGAGGAAGTGGTGCAGAACTCTCCTTTGGTAAAAGCTCAGAATCATGAATAGCATCATCTGCTTTTGACAGGTCGTCATCTTCCTTCTGCTCCTTTAAGAGAAACACCCAGGTAAGTCACTGTGATTCTGAGGCTAAAAATTATGTGGGTATGAAAATATTTGATAGGAATGAATGCTAAACCAGAGACTATATTTGAAAAATTGCATAACTGACACACAGAGATGCATACACTTACTGTTTTCTGCAAAATATATATCATACTGTTTCCATTCCAAAATCTTTGAAAAGGATTTTTACTATTATCACCAATCAAGCGGATTTCTACATCAGTCTGAAAAAAAAATACACATAAGTGCTACATTTTAGCAACATTTTCCATTGAAGATTTCAGAATTGACTACTTCCTAAACTATTTTGGGGTCCCACTGCAATCATTAATTAACCTATTCATGACAATACAGTTACTGCATTCTGTAAAAGGAACTAAATCTTAAATCAACTGTGAAAATGCATATTTTTGCAACTAATACAGAAATAGTTCATCTTTATTGTGCTGATTCTACAAGAAACTGAAGTAGATTCTGAAGAGATTCACACAAGTGAGTAGCATTAAAGATTTTTCCAACCATTTCTGTGCTCCAGTGACTATTAGAAACAGTTGCCATTTTCATATGCATATCCATAAAACCACTCAAATAACATAAGGTATCTCTCTGTCCTGAGGTGATCGCAGCTCCAAAAAGCTATTGCTGAAGTGAAATTTCCTATGTGATAATGGCACATGGGCCAGCTGCTGGCCACTGACAGCTTCCTTGCTTTTTTAAACACATATAGTTTAGATGACATAGCTGCATTTTCACATCCGCATTTACCTCAAAGAGATATGGATGTTCAGGGACACTTTCCTTTCCTTCATCATAAATTCTGGAAGGAAAAAAACAAAACAAAACAAACCACTTACAAAGATTCTCTCTACTCCTCATTGTATACTAAACTTATATGTTAAAAAAAAATAAACCCTAAAACATCAATCTCAAATCATAATTGTGATATTATACATTAAAACTTCATTTATAGAAGGATCACAATATTTTTATTCTACATGCAGCTAACCTCAAAAACCCAGCTCACAGAGATCTCCCATTGCCCCAGTAAAGCTGCAGACTTTCTGAACACAG